GCTGAGTGTTAGCAGTGTACACCGTTGTTTGCAGTGACGCATGTCAACAACAAAGCGATGATCGGTTGATTTTTTGAATCTCTTGAGCGAACATTAACTGCAGACGGTTGTAAGTCATTATCAAATCGATTGTCGACTTCTATGTATTAGTATCCCCCATGCCAGGCATACTGATGCTCGTTTCGATGCTCATAGGAGGTGTTCTTACCAGAAAGTCTCATGTTTGCACACAAGCGCAAATATGATCATCTCGCTGTTGTTTACGTGTATAAAGTAGTTCCTTCTAATCACTCTTTTTCATTATTCACTCTCTGTTCCTACATGCGAATTAAGATCGCCGACTTAAATGGTGGATTCCGTAGTCGGTCTTTCCCGACAGAGCCCTTATGTCTTCTCGTGATGACTCATATTCATTCTCCTTATTTGTTGCATGACCTGTAACAAAATTAGCGCTTAATCTTGTTTTAATCAGTCAGAAACTTGCCCCTGTTCGGGTGAAAAGGTTCTATTCGATCTTTTTTAGTTTCTACCAGAACACCAACAGCGGCCTGAGCGCGGGACATTTAGTGATACCGCAATAAAGTGGCTGCCACCTACATAGGTTAGGGCTTCCACACATTTTGGACCGACTTCTAGCACTCACGACAGGCTGGGTGAGTAGTTGCCGACAGAAACGTCGCTCAATGCGCGCAGTTGGAAATCACTAGGTAGCTCATCTGTTATTACAAACGTTGCGATGCCCCGATATCCACAGCTATGACTTGGAATGTTGTGACTTGCAGTAGAATGATTGATTTAATGCCCGATTATTTCGGTTATGCAGTCCTGAATTATTTTTTGCTCACAATCTATAGGATTTGATTTGATAAATATTTTTGCTGGCGTCAAAGAGCGAATAATTCAGAACTGCTACGCAGTGAGCATTGATTTTCTTACTTCTCAGCGCCGGTTTGATATTTTTTTCATTTCTAAGCAATGCTCTTAGTCGGTTGCATAATGCTCGCCGGAGAAGATGAAAAAGAGGTTACTTTTATTAATCATGACTCTGAAGAGCACAATTGGATTTTTCTGGGGTCTAAAAATGATCGTTAGAATTCGGTTTTAGTCGAAGGAAAGAGATTTGAATATCCAAACTGTAACTGATTCACGAGTTGATTCATCATGATGGCGCGATATCATTATTAATTATATGTACATGCATTTACGCATTACCGTGTGTCACCGCTTCTTACGATAGTCATCGCTACTTTTGAATTCCTATTGAAGAGAGAAATCGAGGTTTACGAATTTACTTTGTACACGATGGCTTGAACCCTAGTAGAAAGGCCAACTTGAAAAGTAGGCCTTCTGCTAGCGCCATGGCTTCTTTAGCGGCTGGCACAGCAACGCCCGTTCTTTCTGCCAGATCTTCCACGAGTTCTACTACTGCCGTGTTGATCGACATTCATGTAAATACAGCGTACAGGTGCTTCCATGATCTACTGTTTACGCCCTTAGGACGTTCGTGAACACCAGGAATAGTATTTATCGCCTATTTTGTGGTGATTGTGTCAGTGCTGCTCGACATTAGAAAAGAACATTCATCCTCTTTGTGTATTTGATTTCGAGAGGTACTGTGTAAGACTTTCTTCGATCGAGCTCACCAAGCCTTTACAGCCTCTGCAACTGCGTTGTCAGTTGCAAATGTAATATGCACCGTTTCAGATAGGGCTCCAGCGTTTCGCAGACAAGGCCCAATATTTGGTTTAGATTCTATCATTGTCGCCGTCGAAGTATTTGTCCCTAAAGTAATTACGGTTACTTGCATATTCGTGTTATGATTAATACCTTGACTATTCACATCACCACCTTGCAAACAGCGTTGCTGCGATGACCACGAATTTCAATCGCCGTTTGAGCTAAGTACACGATTAATGAGTAATAACCAGGATATTGGTTGCAGACTCAACCCTGTTCTTACCTGCAAATGAGAATATATAATGGGATTAGCAGACTTAACAGTGAAAAAGGTACCCATTTATGGGTAACATCTGCCTTACAACTCTCGTAAAGTGCATAAGTCACTGGAAGGCTTGAAGCAGTTCCATCTGATGTTCTGGGCTTGTCCTGCAATTTGTCATTCTTATTCAACGCACTATGGCCTGTA